ACTGTTAGCCATCCTGCTGGTGTCCGAAGGTATGTGTCAATTTCATAATAGTAGCAGAAATTTTCAATTTAATCAGATTTATTTTGGATTTAATCAGATTTCATTCTTGATTAAAGACAAAGAAAAAATGTTAACTTCAAATAAAGATGATAGTGAATATTAAATGTTAATAAAAGATATCACACCTGAATTACAATTTCTTGCTCTTTTTCTCTTCCACATTTTGTCCAGTTTTTTTTGGGCTGCAAGCGCAAGAGGTAATTAAATGCATTTGATATTGATACCAGAGACAATTAAAAGTGAAATATTGATGACAATGTTCATATGTGCTTAGGATGGCGAGGGCAACGACACATGGGCTGGGAAAACCTGCAAGTGTGACTGTGATTCCTCTAGCAAGTTGCTTTCCAAAGGTTCTTCATCAAGTAGGGGACAGGAGATGGACTGCATTCCAGGTAAGAAAGGAAAAGAGACTTTAAGAAATATGGATTCAAGGAATCACATTATTGTTTTTTTATTTTCTAAACTGTAATAAGCACTTATCATAACCTGAATGTGAGGGTTTGTAGGCTTTGTCCTGGTTTGGACTCCACTCTGCCACTATGAAGTATTTTGGTTCACAATGTGTCAAACAAATATATAATGAATCAGCTTTCTTCTAGATAGTGTTGTTTTTATTGGCTTTATTGTGAATCAAATACAACTCAAATCCGTTTTGTCAGGAGAGCGAAATTTGTGAATGGGGCTTTGTGCTAAATTTGACTCTTTGGGAACTGAGATGGATGGATTTAGTTAGCGCTAGCTGGTGCCCTTTGGAAACAGAAGGCAGGACATGTGCGAATGAGCTGGCTCCCGGACAAGCCCTCGCCTGCAGTGGCACAGAAAGTCATTAATCATTTGGTTGCAGCTTCACCTGGGCCATTGGCACACCACCACAGGGCAGACATGCTCCATTAACACAGAGCAGCTTGCTTTCTCAGTCCTCAGAGACTGATGTGTTAGAATCAAATGAAAGGGAGGAAAGTTGAGGAAAAAAATAAAGACTGAGCAAGAATCAGAGATGGACCGGATGCTTGTTCATAATCCCATTATGTTGAGAGTTCCCGAGATCACCAAGACTAGAAGAGGACCTGCCAATCAAACCGCATTGACCATTAAAAGGAATCGTTCACCCAAAAAATTAAGATCATTTATGTCATTCCAAATCTAAATGACTTACTGTGCAAGAATGTTGGGAACCAAAGAGTTGCAGTTCCCATTGTAGTTTTTGACCATGGAAGTTAATGGGAACCAAAACTGTTTGGTTACCGATATTCTTCAAATGACGATGAGCAAATTTAAATTAAATTTTTAGGGTGGACTTTCTCGTTAAGTGTTGATTTTGCAGAGATTTTTTTTTAAAGAGAATTCATGATTTTGATTCAGAATGCATTCATTTTCATTTGATTTGATCAAAACCGGAAGTTGGCATGTCAAAAAAACAATCCTAAATCCTGGAAAAGTGGGACTGTTATGTAAAAACACTGCTGTAGGACTGGAGCTTAAGTGTGGAACGTGACCATCTGTCAACCTAAAGTCTTAATGGATGTTGATTTTTCACTATGGGGAACTAAAGCTTTTGGGATTGCGAAGTCACGAGCAGAAGAGTGGAAGCACGGAATTACAGATCTGCCAGATTAATGCTTTGTCCGTTTCTCTTTAACACAACACAACAAAGAAATCTCTCTGCTTGCGTGACTAATGTTTCATTAAGCCCCCTGTCAGACATTTTAGAAATCCTGCAGGCTTTTGTTGAATATTCCTGTTCATAGATTTGTGTTATTTGGAACTGCCTGTAGAGTCAGAAAGCCTGGTTTGATCCAAACTGACAGAGGTGCATATTTATAGTTTTACTTCAAATGATATGCAAAGCTAAATATTAACCACATTCTCAATTTACTGTCCAGAGTGTCCCTACCATAAGCCCCTGGGTTTCGAGGCAGGATCGGTGACTTCAGATCAGATCAGCTGCTCTAATGAAGACGAGTACACAGGCTGGTTCTCCTCATGGGTTCCAAGCAAAGCAAGGCTCAACAACCAAGGATTTGGGTGAGTTCTCTGAAATATTGCTAATTATGGCAGCTGTTGAAACAGAAGTCATGAGTTTCAGTTAAAAGTGTCAATTGGATTTTTTTTTTTTTTACTATATAAGGCTAATGTGCATTAGCATGATTTTTAAGTATGAATTTATTTAGTACTGACAGATTTACAGATTTGATTGCAGATTCCACATATCTCAAACTCTTTCATAACCATTGAAATAATATTACAAAAAAACTTGTAAATATATATAAATAAAGAATTACACTACAGTTTAAACTTTTGGGATCATTATGATTTTTAAAATAAATTATTACTTTTATTCAGCAAGGACATTAAATATTGTAATGATTTCTGAATTATCATTTGTCAATGAAGACTGGAGTAATGGCTGCTGAATATTCAGCTTTGCCATGATAAATTACATTTTAAAATGTATTAAAATAGAAAACAGTTATATTAAATTGTAATAGTTTACAGTATTACTGTTTTACTGTATTTTTGATAAAATGAATGCAGCCTTTGAGAGCATAAGAGACTTCTTTCAAAAACTTTAAGAAATCTTACAAACCCCAAACTTTTAGTGTAGTATTATTGAAACAATCTTAAGGAGCCTTGGTCTATGCGATCTGTGATTTTCTTTTGTATTTATAGATTATTCTCTCCTCTCCTAGGTGTGCCTGGCTGTCTAAATTCCAGGATACCAACCAGTGGCTTCAGATTGACCTGAAGGAGGTCAAAGTGGTTTCTGGTATCCTGACCCAGGGCCGCTGTGACTCTGATGAGTGGATTACTAAGTACACTATGCAGTACCGCACCAATGAGAAGCTCAACTGGATCTACTACAAAGACCAAACTGGAAACAACAGGGTAAGACGACAAACAGCCCATCCTGGAATAATAAGGATTGCTATTCCTTTTAAAGTATTGCATAAATATTGTTTTTTCCTCAGGTGTTCTATGGAAACTCTGACCGATCTTCCACAGTCCAGAACCTGCTGCGTCCACCTATCGTAGCACGTTACATCCGCATCCTCCCTCTCGGCTGGCACACTCGTATTGCCATCCGCATGGAGCTGCTACTTTGCATGAATAAATGCACCTGATCTGGAACATGTCAGCAAAGCCATACCCAACTACTTCCTGTTCCACCTCTTTTCTTGTGTCACAATATGCCAAAGTGAATATCATTGCCCAATCACTGCACTCAATTCATTTATTTTTCAAGTAAGAAATGATCATTAGCATGTGTTACATTTATTTGTGTTCAATGTTACATATAAAGCCATTTTTTCATGTTATGTTGTATTCATTATATGAAGTTTGTTGCTTTGGCAAATCAGACTTAAAGGTTTTGCTTATCTGGAGAGAGGTGGGAGATCTCATGGAGTGTTGTATTATTGTGTGTTCTAATGTGGTTTGTGATGGTTATGTAGCATGTTTCATTCCCACCGTTTTGACCAAATCCCTTTTTGTATTTACTATGAGCCTACATTGTTTAATTGTGTTTGTGCACTTACCTGAGAAACAATGCCTTTAAATAAAGGAAGTCTCTCTGTGTACCTTGTATACTTTGGTTGTATAATCTATTCACTCTCAAGTTGGACAAAAATGATCAAATATAACAAATATTAATATATTTAAAAAATTGTAGTAAGGGGGGCATGTGGTAAAGGCCCTTAGTGTATCAATACACGCATGGGATGATCCAATGTATTATTAGAGGAAATAGAATTAATTTGCTAATACTAAATTTACATTTGATTTCAAATGAAGTAATCTAATTTCAAAAAAATACATCTGATATAGCTTTTAATGATTCACTTGTATATAAGATAATTTAATTATACTCAAGAGGTGATGTTAAAAAAAGGGGGGGGGGGGGGGTTTGAAATGTGTTTGAAATTTAATAATTATTTCAAAATAACTTAAATATGCCTCAGGGGTATTTTGCCCTATTTCAGAAGGGGTCATCTTACCAAAGGTTTCTCACTTCACTTAAAAATAAGTAAATAAATAATAAATTTTCCCCCAATGTCTAAATTAATTACTGTGTCCATGAATTAGGCTTTACGTCAACAAACATAAAAAACATGATATATAAAACGGGGAGGGGGGGGTGTGTTTGAAATGTGTTTGAAATTTAATAATTATTTCAAAATAACTTAAATATGCCTCAGGGGTATTTTGCCCTATTTCAGAAGGGGTCATCTTACCAAAGGTTTCTCACTTCACTCAAAAATAAATAAGTAAATAAATAATAAATTTTCCCCCAATGTCTAAATTAATTACTGTGTCCATGAATTAGGCTTTACGTCAACAAACATAAAAAACATGATATTCTGTTATATAAGTTTCCCAGAAAACTGTACATTAACTATCAAATGACATCTTCTAA